TAGTTGACCTTAAGAAAGGAAAGTACGTGACGGAAAGGTCAAAGGTTGCTACTTGTCTTTCAATGTAAGTCATTCAGGTTTTGGCGATTGAGGGTCCGGTTGTTGGCTAAGTGAAGAAGGGCGCGCATGCACGATCACCCTTATTTCCGCATTCTGGAGTTGAAAACGAAGATTTTGCCATAATTAAGGGGGCGATAAGTGAAGCCATAGTGGGAGCCCGTTTTGTGAAGGAGACGAAGGAAATTCGAGTTGGATACACACTTACTCTGGACTCGCTTAGGCACTCTCTGACTGACTCGCTGATTTTCGGGCTTGCTGGACAAAATGTAATTACGAAGCGGGATGTTTTCCGGCGGGGAGCGGCAAATATGCTCCCCGGCCGCTTTGGTTAAGAGGCGAGACACACTTACTCTTGACTCGCTTAGGCACTCACTGCTTGGATTCGCTGACTTTCGGGCTTGACGGACTTGTTGACGGAGACTGAGAAAAAACTTGTGGGTGTTGCGAAGGAGAAAGGAAAAGATTTAGTCGGCATCGAGCAGTGCTTCCGGCGGGGAGCGGCAATTATGCTCCCCGGCCGCGGGTTTTCTCAAAAATGCGAAGAAAAAAAAAATGAGCGAATAACAAAAAAAAAAAAAAAAAAATTAACAGAGACCTGGGTCTCTATCTGTATCGGCAAAAGTCAGGACAATGTCCTCTGAACTCCGACTTGAAAACAGAAGGAATTATGTCACCTTAGTCAACTGGAAGCCTGTGTTAGCCGTTCTCTAAAATGCCTAGCTTAATTGTCTACGTTTTCCTTGGTGGAGCTGAGAGTCTAGGCAGACAGCCGTGCGGCGTAAGCTGTTCTCTTGCTTCCAGTGGCAACAATTTTCTTCTATGGAAACCAGTAGCAGGCGTAAGATTTGACAGTATAGCTGATGTAATTTATTGTCGTGCCGTTCGAGTCTCTGTCTTGCGGATTTGCCAAGTGACGTAAGGATAGAGCTAAGATATGAGCTCTCCTCCACTTCAAGATGTCCACTCAAGATAAGTATTATTTTTTTTGGTGTGTTGGAACTTAGGCAAGTTTTTTCAAAAACGTCCTTAGCAGTAAAAACAACGTCGAATCTAAAATTTAACTCTCAGGCCATAAATTGTTTCCCTTTCCTTTCTTTTAAATCACCAGACAAACCTTAAGTTTTTTTTATGAATTTAAATGAACAGACTCTCAGATGAGGTTAAGATTTTTCTTATTGTGTTATAATTGAATAAACTGATATTTAATCTGGAACCTCTTACAGTATGTTTTCTTTATATATTCAATATGAACTTTTCCTTTATATCTTGTATATGTTTTATGTTTTCGATCCTCTCACGGCGCGGTCCCGGAATGCATTTTTTTTCACAACGCAAAAATGCTGTACACGTTTCACTATACGATCACTCCCTTTAACGGCAAGTAGTTTCATATTTAACATTTAACATATCGAAATTTAAGATATAACATTGGTGTCAAGAGCAGATAAGTCAATTTTTTTTTTGTGTTTGAATTTTCACGGTATTCTCTTCATAACACCAGCTGGCTCAGACAAAGCACAACTAGCTTTCAACTCATAACGACCATGCCAACGTTGTCAGCATCTCTCTCTCTCTAGAAAGCAGCAGTGGTGGCAAAAGCCAAGCATCTGTAATGAATCATGCTTTTTACAATTTTACTTCTCATGTTAACTTGTACCACTTAACATAAAATCTGTATAAATCTCTGGTCTGACCGAGCACACAATGAAATGAGACATAAATAAAGAACCAATATAAAGATAATTGATAGTAAAGTTCAAATAAAATGCCACTAATCTTTAAATTATGTAGAACTATTATGAGTGTAAAATATAAATGTTACAAGAAATTTTGCAATCTAATTTTGATTATTTGATAAATTTTATGACCTTGATTATATTTTAGAATTTGTTTTGTAAATGTTATGTATTAGATACTTAAGTTCTGTGTGTGGAAATGTGTATAATCTCTGTTAAATTAATTCAGATAATTATGGTCATTAGTTATTATGTCAAAAAAAGAAGGCTTGCATTTTTGTCTTATGGAAATAAAAATGTGATTTATTAAACCATGTAATCTTTAGTAAAATAAAATGTCATAAAGGGGTACCCTTACATTACAGAAAATACTGTTCTGCGTGGGGAGGTTTAACAAGATTATCTAAATTTTTCCTATAACCTTATTTGCTGTAACCCATTAGCGTGAATATTTGGCATTCTGTTACAGTACTAATGTTTATAAACTTTTAGCTTGAGTTGATCAATATTTTGTTTGCAGTTAAAGTAAACTTTGATTACTGCTATTTAGATTGTCAAGGAATCTATTTTAAAATAATGAGAATCGTAAAATTTGTTTTAATAATTTGTATTATCAGTATTTAAAAAAAAAAGCAAAGATTGCTCAAACTTAATAAAAATCATCATCCATGCAGAGTTATATATATATTTTTTTTTTCATAAATGTTGTAATGGTCACAATACAGATACTGGAAAAGACAAATTTAGATAATGATGAGATAATAATTCAGCAAGTTTTATTAAAAAAGATCCTATACTGGAAGAGAAAGTAGACAAATATAAATAAATTATTCAGATTTGTACATTCACCATCATTTCGTGTCTTTCTTAATTTAAAGAGCAAAAAGCAATTGTAAAAACTCTAATAATGTGTTGGGAGGGAATTTTTAACATTAGAAACATTTGCCGTAGAGTCCTTCTAGATTTTAGTTATCCATATCACATCATATGTTTTGCTATCAGGCATTTATTATTCGCGCAACATTGCAAGTGTTGCCACTGCATTCTTATTAGGTCACATGGAGGATTTTTATTTTATGTTTAAATAGCTTGGTTGATAAGCAATTCTGAAAGTAAACCTGTATGCACTCCCTGCAAGATCTTTCTTTAAATTTGTAACTGTAATACAGTCAAAAGTCGTTAATCCGGACTTGTCGGGACTTCGGCGATTCCGGATTATCGATGTTTCCGGATTATAGGTCATCAGTTTAAATCTGGTAAGATAGCATGCAGAAATTATAAAATTAAAAAATATGAAACCGTAATTCATGAAATAAAGAACAATTATGATCTAAAGGGTATCAAAATTTACAAAAAAAAAGTTTAATATTTATTTGTTTACTTTATTAAACATTTCTTTCAATGTAAGTTGTTTAAGTTGCTTCGTTTTTTATGTGGTAATACTTTCTCTTTAATTCTATAAACAGACATAATTTCTTGTTCAGTTACAAAGTTCCGCTGTTCAAGTCCTATAATTGCTGTGTCGAGAATACCGACTAATTTGTCAATCGAAATTATTTCATTTCAATAACCTCTGAGTCACTTTCTTCACTATCGGAAGCGAATTATAATGACGAGGAACTTGATTTAAATCATATCAAAGACGGAGTACATCGAGATCAGATGCTACATTTAGTAAGGAATTATAAGCTAAATAAAATAAAAACATCTGCCCTGAAGATAAGGATAGTGCTGACAGATCAACTTCCAATTCATTGCACGCCGCAGCGTGAAACTGATAAACAGATTTCGGATTTCAAAACATACTTTCGCTTTGTAGATCTTTACATATTAGTAAATATATATCGGAAATTCTATTTGACATAATCGAAAGTTCAAGCTTACTTTTATAAAATTGCTCTAACAGTCTGCAAAAAATAATAAGCCGGATCCAATTCGAAGATTAAGGAACAACGCAATCTGCAACATTAACTGAATTAGATAATTTTAGCTTAGCTTATACTGTCCGTTACACATTAAACGCGCATGCGCACACACATATTCGCAGCCGTAAAGGTCTTACGCGCACTCGTAAATGCCTATGCGCATGCGTGAACGCGACGCATGCGCAGAAAGTTTGTAGCTTTGAGGTCCGGATTATGGGTGTCCGAATTAACGACTTTTGACTGTATTACATTGTGTATTAGAAGAACCCAGAAGTTTCTGAAATTTTCATTCTACTCATGAACTGGGCATAACTCATTGTCATGCTGTTAAATACAGCAAAGACTGCATTGTAAACTGTTCTGCACGTATTATTTTTGTGATGTTCGCAGGAGTTTAAATTTTTAAAATTGAAATTATTCTTATCACACTGAAGAAAAGTGTTATTTTATATCATTAGGTTCAGTTACTGCTGAAACAGTCAAGGCGTTCAAGGAAGTTCTTAATATTAGTTATAAGTAAAATACTGGCTTTTATGTTAATCATTCCAAAAAGAACAAATTTCATTTGAAGACCATCACTATCTTCACTGTGTGTCTGTGAGTTGAAATGCCAAAAATATTTGTTATCCTTTTTAAGGGGGATATTAATTTCATTGGATCAGTCTGAGACTGACACTGTTCTGTTTCAACTTTGGGACCCACATGTTTGGGTGAAAAATTTAACTGATGTTTGTGCTGCTGTCTGTTTTCTGAGTGTGTGCATGGAGAAATCTTCTTGCTTCTGGCGAAGGTAGAAAGCAGCCAATTATCTTCTCCCTCAGTTTTCTGTGTGTAGGGTTTGGTATTGCCCACAGCTAGGTTTGGCATTGGCTGTGTACAGTGCTATGCTCTTTGGTTGCTCATGTATGAGGCATTAGTTGAAGGGAGATATTTTATTGACATTTAAGTTCATGAACTTAGTTTGACAATATTTCCCATGACAGCTTTTGAGACTGCTTCCACGAAGTGACTCTTTCAGCCAGTAATATGGGGAATATTTTGTAGTGATGAAGCTTTAGACATGCGATATACTTTGAATGTGTTTTTGTTAATGAGTTGAGAAATTTTCTTCTTTATAACGCAATTTATTTAGTTCTAGCCCCCAAAAATTATGTTTCTGCTTCAGGATTTAGAATACAAGATTCAGAGGCATTCTGTACCTTTTGGAGGCTTGACTGTTTATATAATTTGAGAAAAGATGTTCATTTTATATTAATTTATTTTGTAAAATTTTTTACAGACTCTTTGTTACCTTGTTGATCAAGGGGATTATTTGTATGTCCCAAAAGCAAATCTACAAGAACTTGATGATCGTTTTCGAAAACTTCCTTATCAAGTGAGATTACAACTTTTTATCTCTGTCTTTTAAATATAATTTTAAATGTAATCAATTTTTCACTTCATGGGTGATTTTGATCAATTTGTTTTCTATCGAACTCTTAAAATTCATTTTTTGCAGGCTATTCTTATGAATCTTGATGCTGTAGAAGATTATGAAGATTTCATAAAGTATGAACACATAAATATTCTTTGTGCAAGAACACTAATAGCGGAAGTTAAAAGGTATAATTGCTTCTATTCACTAAAAGATCATAAATCAATATTCTAATTATAATATTTTTAATTCGCAACTGAGCTAATATACATTCATTTTTATGTGTCTTTGAAAGAAATCAAAGGTAGGTAACAAAACAATTTTTTTTTACTGCTTCTAGAAGATGCATTATATCAGAGGTATAACAAGTAACTATTTAAGTTCATACATAAAATTACAGTACTAACCTACAATTTATATATTTCTGTTTCAAAAGAAGGATATTTCTAAACTGGTAAGCCAGAAAAAATTCATAGGTAATTAATTATGAGTTGCATCTAACATTACTTTTGAAGAGAGGGGGAAAATGTACTCATTTAAAGTCCTCAGCTGCCTGAGTACAAATGCACTTATTTTACAGAAATTAAACTTTTGGGTCTTTTTCTTTTCTTCTATCAATAAAAATCCAAGTTCTATATTTATATTTAAGGAATTCATTCCAGATATGAATTCCTTGGGTATTTACAGGATTCCTTCCCAGTGTGGTTATTAACCACTTGCGCTAAAAAGACGTGCCACGCACGTCGAGATGCTTTTGTCTCAAACCGCGGGTGCGTGAACACCACGTCGATAGCCATTTATCACAAAAATGAAAATAACGTGGTGCACATGTTGCCTAACAACGAGATTGTTTATTTCTCGAGTTATAGCTCTGGATTGCACTCGCAGACGCGGAGTGGCGTAAACGAGACACTTTACCGCTTGTTATATTGTAGCGCAAGGCACCGTGACCATGAAGTTTAATCATAGTGCAAGTGGTTAATTTACATTGGTCAAACTAAGATAACTTTAAAATTTCAGCGTATGTTGGGAAGAAGTAAACACAGAAGTTCTCTTTTGCTCAGTACTGTTGGTACGAAAATCACACTTTCCATTCCCCCCCCAGCCAAAATTATTCAAAAAAACATCTTCTGTTGGTGAATTAGATTTTCTAGAGGTGTTTCATGTTAAAAAAAATCTTTCTGTTCTAATTAACGACACTAATTCCAATCCATCTTTACCTTCAGCCTTTAAGGAAATCATGTTTTAGTTTTCTTGTTTCATCAGTAGATGATGCCAGTAGCTTAACTTCTGCCCAACCATTCTTATTGTATCTTATCCCTTCACCATCTAGTTCATTCTACTTAGGCAGCTGGAGAAGATGGTTCTGTAGTTAAATCATCAAAACTAGTCCTGCAAAATTTACAAATACTAAGCTGATTCTTGTTTGATTTCTTCAATAAATCTTCTTAATCTCAAGATGAGTCCATTTGTTGATAAACTTTCAGTCTAAAATCTATCATGCAATAAACTGCACAAGTAAAAAGCAAAATCCGTATCTTTTTTTTCCCTTCAAATAAAGAGGACTAGTTATATTGACTCCAGTCATTCCAACACTAGAGCAGTAGAACAACAGACAACTTCTGGAAGAGGTACTGGAACAGTTTCTATACTGTTTTCATTGTATCGTTTGCAGCAAACACATTTTATCAGAACTATGTGTACTGTTTTTCTACCTCTCAGGATCCAGAATTTCTGTCAGATACTGCCCAGTATGAATTGCATACCAGCATGGGATAATAGTAAATGGCAATCTGATTTGATGGCACTAAAACTGGACAGTAAAATTCTTCCCTTCTTGTAATCTTGATGAACAAGGTCATCTGAATCAACAAAGGTGCAGAGATTTCTAATGTTAAGCTCTTTGCCAATTACCTCCATCTTCCATATTTTCTTTTTCACAATTTCTATTTCAGTGACAGGGAGTTCTCCTGATTGTTTAGAATCTCTCTTCTGCAATAATTGATGAATCTACATATCCAAGCTGTTATTCTTAACATTTTATGGTAAATGGATAATTCTGATAAAAATGATCTACCCATTTTGTATTTAGTTTAGAAATGATTGATTTCCTTTTTTTTCTGAATTCACTAATTCCATGTCTGATATTTCCCTGTGTTAAGGTCGTTCATCCATCAGTAATTTCAAAAATGGAGGTCCTTCCCACTAGTGAGACATGGATCAGACATTTGCTTTACAACTGTGTGACAGGAGTTCTGCTGGATTTAATCATCTGGGAACATAATTCCATGTGTCTGTATTACTCAGATCTAATTTCATTTACTCTGTTCATGAAAAATGCAACCTGCATTCTTGATTCGAAATTCAGGACAAGGTATCCATTGAGTCAGTCCACTAAAATTGGAATTTGGGAACAAACGGAAAATCTTTCTTAATGGAGTTCATCAGCCTGACAGTTATTAAGCAGGCTAAAGCTCAAGTCTAGAAACAGACACAGACTTTAAAGGTGATGCATGAGCATGAACTTGTATCAATTGATATTTCACACTGGAACCACTTTCCTGTCTGAGATAAGTACATGCTGCATGAGCATATTGGAAAGCATAACAAAGTACATGAAATGATAAATCAGTGTAATTCAAATAATTTAATACCTTTTTTAGGAATCCTCACAAAGTTTAACCATCTTAATTGCCGCAGACGTATATATACGTCTTTCTCAGCAGATGCGTTTACTGCCCTGGGTGTATATATATGTGCCTTTCCGAAATACCTTCATTTGCTTTGCTCTGCTAGCAATAAAATTATTCGCAGAGCTTTGGAATGTAACACCGAGTAAACTTATTTTTATTAAAACGTAAACATAACAAGTTTATGTCAATAGCATTAATAAGTCGTTTGGATAGTTATTGATTGAAATTGATAAGAAAGAGAAAGATAGATGTTAGCGCTGCTTGTTCTTCTATGCTCTTCTATATTTTGTGCACTAGTGGTTACAAGACAGATATGCATATGTGTGATAAGCTCATGAATCTTATTTATATTTATCATTGTGATTATAAATGAAAGTGACAAGAATGCTTATTCAATAATGATTTTCATACTAAATACATTGCATTGGATACATCATGTAGTGATAAAAGAAATATGGTTTACCAATATTATAATTCCTATTTTTCTATCTCCTAGTGGAATATAGTTTTTATTGTTCCTAACCATCAAAATTTACAGTGTAATGTGAGTATATCTGAAAATTACACCTAATTGAGGATGAAGAAGTTATGTATTTCCCTTTTTTATCAAAATAAAATTTTTATATGGGTTCTATAAAAATTATTTAAAGTTCAGTATTTTTATATAGTTTTTGTTATGCCCCATTTTTTATATCTTGCCATCTATCCCATTTTTCTCTAATGGTCAGCCTACTTATAGAATAATTAACTCATATGCATCATTCTTTTGCAGGAGTTTTGAAGCAACAGATTGTTTTCCTGACAATAAAGGAATTCACCCAATAATTTATTCAGTTGTCTTATATGACACTTCTGGAGATGATGATATAAATTTAAATGATGTTATCAAGAAATCAGTACTAGATTCTTTAACATGCAGACTACCCAAGGTAAAAAAGCCGATTCTTTTAGTATCTTTTATTGTAAGAAATGTTAGATTTAGAGTCTTATGTGATATTTAATTTTATTTATGCAGCATGGTGTTTCTTCATGTGCCTATCTGACTCATATTAAATCTAGTGGAGAAATTTATCTTAGATTCTTGCATCCTGAAGAAAGTTGGCTTGAAAAATTGCTTGAAAAATATACCCTTCAATTTGAAGTATGTAATTTTTTTTTTTTTTTTTTTTTTTTTTTTTTTGCAATAGTAATTGGTCATTGTATACGAAATATTATAATTTTTATATGAAATGAAAACTTTGCTTGAATGTGTGTACAAATAAAAGGCAACAATAATCACTTTTTCTTTTATTTGTGTGTGTCAATCATATGCCTTTATATTTTTTTATACATTTTAAAAGTAAGCTGAAGTATCTTTAATAGTTAATTGACAATATATAAAGTGTTCATGTTTATTATAAAGCTCATAAGCTTCCTTTAGATTTATGGAATTGCTAAGATATGTATAATATGCTGTTGTTAAAGGATGTTTATTTTTTTTCCTTTTGATTTAGTAATGATAAAATGATTTAATAAAATTTATTTTTGTGTATATTATGCAGCCCAGTTATTTTCAAACTGCATTAATATCAAAACAGATTGCATTAATATATTTAATGCAAATATATTTTCAAATATGAATCAACGTTCGTTCTGGGGGTTCGAACCCCAGTGAACAGGCTGGCTGCATGGGCATTTTTCATGCTTTTCCCTATGTGTAATGTGCATGGCGCGGAAAGGGAGGAATGCTTTGGAGGACTTTATAGCCCCGTTCACATGCAACGCTCTTTCGCACAGCCACAACTTGTATTAGGGAGAAACAGGGATATGAAGCAGTTTCGCCTTCAGGACTGGTTCAAATGCACATCGTCTTCCATCCCTTAACTCATAAGCCACTGCAAGCAATGAATATCACAAACGCGAATCAGTTTGGCGGATTTCTAACATTTACTTACATCTTTTTGACATTGTTTACTATTGGTATAGAACGCCATCGAAGTTTAATTCTTTAATTAATTAAAATACACCTAAATTAATTTAAAATGCAATTTATATACAAGACCAAATGATTAAAAGAAGAAAAAAAATTACATATACTGCTGAGCGGTTTTAAATAAAATGTTTTGTGGCTGCCAAAATTTCAAACTTTGCTTTTTGAAAAAATGAATAAAACGACAAATTAATAGCAATAATATTAATTATAAATGTTTTAATATTGATTATAAACGTTTTAGAAAATATATTATAATTAATTCATTTGTTAAAATTGCTTTGAACATATTTTACAGAGATTTTAAATAAAAGCTTGTAATTTATGTTTATATTAACCAATTGAAACAGCACTAGGTTTTATTTTATATATATATTTAATGAAATTCAGCAATAAATTGTTAAGAAATTTGAAATGATTTAATGACAATATAGACAGCTTATTTTTTTTTAAACTGTGTTTTCTCAGTTTGCATTTTTTCCGATAAATCCTTTTATTTAAAGTCCTAAAACTTATGACCTAAATTATTTAATATTTTTAATTAAAATTATGTACTGTAGAGAAACAAGAATAGGTTTTGAAAAATACTGAAAAGAAAAATTAGTGGAAATGTGATTGAGATTATATTTGTTTCAATTTTTTTTGCATAAAAATGTGTTTTTATTTATTTATTTTTTTTTTTTTTTCAGAAACTAAGTCATTAATTGCAAAATCGATCCTTAAAGTTATTAAGAACTTTCTAATAAATACAATAAGAAAATATGGGGGAAAATCATTGAAAATTTTAGGAGAAGAATGATATTTTAATTGTTAAACTTTTCTTCCAAAAATTTTAATTTAAAAAAAATACTGACAAAAAATTTTTTTTCAGCTTAACATTATTTTGTCCTACAAAGCCATTGAATAACATTCATAAAAGTAGATGAAAGTTCTTAAATAAAAAAATCATTCAAAAGGTACCGAGTCCGCTTGTCGAGTTGTAGCCGATATGAACGTCTTTAGTTTTAATTTGAACGGTATTTCTGGAATACCCAACATCAGATAACCTTGTCTGTACTTGTTTACAAATTTCCGTATTTGTATAGTTTTATGTAATTTTTTTGGATGATATCGCATCCTCAGATATCTACCTATCTGTTTCGCTGACAGTATAGCGAGCAGCCAGTTGCACGTCAACCATGTTATTTGTTAAAATTAAGAGAGCCGTGCAGTGCAGTATGGGAAATCTCTCCATTTGCCCTGCTCCCAAGAGGTAGGAATGTTATTACTGAAAAAAATTCTACCTCCAATTCGGAGAAGCAGTTAATGCTTGTTGCCGTGTGAATGGGACAAGTTAGAAGAACCAGTTTTCGCTACCAGTTGAATCTGCTGTTGTAAAGGGGCTTATGTACACGTAGGTAAATCCTCTTTCCCCAAAAAAGTTTACAAGCATCTTGAAAATAATTATTGTGGTGGGAATACTTTTTATCAAGATTTTAAACAAATGCAACTACTTGTCTTGCAGCGGTTGTGTGCAAGAAGGTAGGTAGAGGAAGTTCACAGACACATCAGAGTGATTGAAATGGCAAGACGTTTAGAAAAGTGATCTCACTTGGAGATAAGAGCAGTGATTTATCATTCTGATTAAGTATCTGGAGTGTGGCCGTACCGTTACTGATGATTGTTATTGCCCCCTTTCATAAGGTTAGTTGAAGCCATGGCATGTTGAGCAATAATGTCATCCTCCTGCATGACATTGTCTGGCCTCTTACAGTCAAAAGTCTTTAATCCGAACTTGTCGGGACTTTGGCGATTCCAGATTATAGATCATCAATTTAAATCTGGTAAGATGGCATGCAGAAATTATAAAATTAAAAATATGAAACCATAATTTGTGAAATAAAGAGGAATTATGATCTAAGGGTTATCAAAATTACAAAACAAAAAAAAAAAAAAAAAAAAAAAAAAAAAAAAGCTTTAATATTTATTTGTTTACTTTATTAAACATTTCTTTCAATGCCCGCATGCGCAAAGCATACGTTACACATAGTCGAAATTAGACAACAATTGCAACCAGAAGACTATTTGATGTGTATTCGTGATATTTATTATGACGAGGAATTTGATTTAAATCATATCAAAGACGGAGTACATCGAGATGAAATACTACATATAGTAAGGAATTATAAGCCAAATAAAATAAAAACATCTGCCCTGAAGATAAGGATAGTGCTGACAGATCAACTTCCAGTTCATTGCGCGCCGCGGCGTCCTCCCCCCCTCCCCCGGCAGAGCAGCGGAAAATTGATAAACAGATTTCGGAATGGTTAGAGAAACAAAGGATATGCCTTTATCCATTTTTTTGCAGCACTTCCACTTTTTGTTTAATTTACATCGAAACATGCTTTCGCTTTGTAGATCCTTTGGCAGCTCCAGAATCTGAAATTCTTTTTGACATAATCGAAAGTTCAAGCTTACTTTTATAAAATTGCTATAACAGTCTGCAAAAAATAATAAGCCGTATCCAATTTGACGATTATGGAACAACGCAATCTGCAACATTAACTGAAATAGATAATTAGATAATTTTAACTTAGCTTATACCGTCCGTTATACATTAAACGCGCATGCGTAAAGGTATGCGCATGCATAAACTCAGTATGCATTTACGCATGCGCAGAAAGTTTGTAGCTTTGAGGCCAGGATTATAGATCATTCTGGATAAAAACTTTTGACTGTACTCTTCACCAAAATCAAGAATTGCTGTAAAGTGGAAAGTCTGGAGTCACCTCCTTCCCATATATAGCTTTGATTTAGCATTCAGTGACTATTTCCTTTTTCTGAAATTGAAGAAACATTTATCTGTAATGAGGTTCTCTTCAGACAGTGGTAAGAAAACAGCTACTGAGAACTGGCTCAGTGTGCGGAGATGTGATTTCTACCAAGTTGGGCTAAACAAGTTGGTCCTGCATTCAGATAAATGCCTAAATGGATTTGGTGATTATATGGAAAAATGATAAGCAAGTATGCTTCTTAATTCCCTTTTGTATTTTTATTATCCTTGTAAACTTTTTCTGGATCCACTCTCCATGTATATATATATAATAGTGTACTGTCTGTGTGTATATATATAAATCAACAAGATATCTAAAGGTATTTTGTTACAAATGTTAGATGTTTTTTTAGAAATTTTTAAAGTTAAAATATTCATATACTGTTTAAGCTTATATTCAGTATTGTTTGCTATATATGAGGGACATTTACTATCTTCTAAACCTATGTGTGGTATAATAATTTTGGGGTAATAAAAGACAGATTGCATCATTCTTTTGGAAGTATAAAAAAAGCTGTAGATGTTGCTAGGTGTTGCTGTTTGATTATTTAATTTTTGATAGTCTTTTAAATGTTGTCAGTCTGGGGTGAGTGTTAAAATATCAAATATCATTCAGTGATTAAGTTCTTGAAGAAAGCATAATACAGATGAATTTCTTTATATGCCTCCATCTAAAGATGGACTACCATGTATAGACAGGGAAGACATGTTTGACAAAGATGGTCTGAGATCTTGTTTGTCACTTGAAGATGATATAGTGACAGTGCAGATGTGCCCACTGAAGAATTATAAAATCATATATAATGGAAGTTAGAGAATTTTTTTTTAAATAGACATCAGTATTGGATGAGTGGAAAAAATCCTATCTGAAATGTTTGGATTTTGAAAATTTGTACTCAGAATGTAGATGTCAGAAATGAAGAAATATTGATTTTAATGTTTTTAACTGCTTTCCATATAAATACATAAAAATTTTTATTCATGGTTAGTGATAGGAAATGAAATATAGCTTCACTTCTGCAACTCATTTCTGTGACTTCTGGGCCAATTTTATTATTCAGCAATGGCAATTTCTTCCCTGTCTACCATTATCACCAAATCAATTGACCTGGCCTCAAGTGACTTCTTTGGTTTAAAAAATTTAAGCAACACTCGCATACTTCATGTAACAGCAAAGACAGTGATTTGTAAAATGCTCTTCAGCAATGGTTTGAAGACTGCAATCGAGCCTTTTTTATTTTGTTGACATCCTGTTCTTGAATAACTAACTATGCTAAGTGCATTGAAGTCAAGGGGAGCTATATAGAAAATTGGAAAAGTAATTTCAGATGCTTATCTTATGAAATGAATTAAAATTTACTCGTACTCTTCAATATGCACCTGTCATGCATTTTATCATAACTGTTGTAATTATGTGTGTGTGCGTTTAATTCCCGTTTACTCACACATACACACAGGCCCCAGATGGTGCTATCGTTGTGTCTCACATGTTGTTAGCTATCTTTCACAGGGGTAAAAAATTATGGCAGGTGTATAACAGGTAAGTACCAACTTATTTAATGCCTCCCTGTATTTCTCAGAACTGGCTACTTTTAGAGGTGGTTGTAGCCCTTAGGCTGGTGTCTCTCCATTAGGAGTTCATTTAATTTTGAAGGTGTTCTACAGAAAGGATAAGTTAATAGTGTAAGTGCCATAAATTGAGTTGAAACTAAAAAAATTCTTTCTTTCGATATGAAGTTTAGAAAGTAAGTGATGCATTGTTTTAATAAACATTTCAAATATTAGACTCTGCATAAAAGACAAACTTAATTTTCATGTAGGCAGTGTAAGAAATAAAAACATATTTGGACAGTATTGTACTGAAAAATAATATATGAATGATTTTGGTGAAGGATATCTTTTTATTTTATTTTATTTATTGATGCTTACACACTTTGTCAAATATATTAATCGAAATTAATTTTTTTAATTACTTTATAGGAATCATATCCAGAACCAGTCGAGTCACTTGTCAACAGAATATGTGTTGCTAAGTATAGTGATGGTCATTGGTGCAGAGTGGTTTTAGACAATGTCTATGAAACATCAAATCCGGAAATGGTAAACTTCCAATACATGTGTAATGAGAAAAATGCTTCCATAAAATGCAATGCCTCTATATAACTACTCGCATTTGAAATCAAGATCCAGCAATCGTCAAGTAGTTATTGCTAATGGACACCATGAGTTTTATCTTATGGTGTCTGTTAGCTATAGTTATCCAATATATATGTAATGAGCAAAATGTTTCCATAAAATGCAATGCCTCTATATTACTACTTGGTTTTGAAATCAAGATCCAGCAGTTGCCAAGTAGCTATAGCTAGCAGACACCATGAGTTTTATCTTATGTTCAATGGAAAATCCATTTATACCCATATAGAATGAAGGTGATTAATCGATGTAAAATGGGCTGCCGGCAAAGAATTTTTATGAAATTTCACTTAAAATGTATAAAAGCAGAATTATAAGTAAAATTATCAGCTCATATTAGTGCAAGGACCCTCCATATAATGACTTATCTTGATGATAGTTCACTTACATTAATGTAATAATCCCTCAATATAATTATTCATCCTGTTATAATGATCACTGAATCTAGAGTGATCTTTCATTAATCTAATGTTATTTTCTTCTCAGTGTAATGGCCTTGTGATGAGCCAAAGTTATGATGTGTCAGTCTTTCTGAATGCACAAATAAGCTACAATGTGAGTTTTTTTACTCCCCTTTAACAGATTCCTTTTTTCTTTGGAAGGTTATAAATGTGGTAACGTAAGTTAATTACATCCAGTCAGTTTGCAGCATGCTTACGCTGAATCCAGTTTAAATAGTTCTTTCATAGTATTGAAATTCAGCCATCTTTGGAGTTAGAAATATGAGGAATTACTCATCTTTTATTATTTATCCTTCTTTAGCTGCATATAAGATCTTTATGCAAAAACTGACTAATTCATGATAACTATACTAAACTAAGAACAAGATAGTCAGGACAGAGTTGTACTTTTTATTAATTTTCTTCGGTTCCTCTTACTGTTCATCAAGTTTTATGGAAGCAAATCATTTAAGAAGAAGTTACAATTAGATTGATTGTCTTGAAAGGCAATAACTTAGCTGGCAACTCACCCAGGTTATCATCACATCTCCTAGTAGGTCACCGAATCTCCTAGTTTTAAATTTTTAGCATTCAATGAGGAAAATGTGTCCCAGCAATAAATGAAATTTATTGATTTATTGAAATTTAAATTGTCTGGATTCCCCCCTATCCCTAATGATTTTCAGAATAATTTTTCTTAGTACGTTTTGTTGATATTTGTCTCATTAAATTTTTCTTATTAAATTTCATATGGTCTGTGTTCCATTATAGACCTTTGCAGATTTTTATATGAAGATTCAAACAACTTTCAATCAGTTAATATTTGTATTCAATTTTGTTTACTTCAATACATAGTACAATACTAAGTTTATCTGCACAAATACTATGCACATATTAAATATTAATTTTATTTTCATTGTAATTAAAAGTACTTTGATAAATAAAAGCTGTATAAGAATACCTCTATAAGAATTAGCAGTAAACCACTGTAAAAAAAAATAGTGGAATAATTGAAAAATTATCAGAACATATTACAGAATTTGATCCCAATATTGAACATATTACAGAATTTGATCCCAATATTGAACATATTCTTACAATTTGATATTCAGTTTGTAGAGACATTAGGTATCTTTGGAAGCAGGTAAGATGAAAAATGAGCAATCGCCTTCGCCGGGAATCAAACTACGGACCTCTGGAATACCGGTCCAGCGTGCAGAGCCACTATACCACCAAGGCACGCTAAGAAGGCGGGAGAAATACCTTGTATACTCCCCTTTCTAAAGGGCGACTGGGGTTTTCAGGGGACCCAATCGCCAAATCCTGGGTGTGGAGAAACCTCATCCAACATCCTTTTAGTTCGGGCGCCAATGTAGGAACATTAGGTATTCTTTAAAGCAGGAGTGATGAAAAGTGAACAACGCCTTCGCCGGGAATCGAGCCGCGGACCTCTGGAATACCGGCCCAGCGTGCAGAACCGCTACACCATGAAGGCATGCTAGGAAAGCAGGAGAAAGACCTTATATACTCCCTCTTTTAAAATGCGACTAGGGATTTTAGAGGACCCAATCGCCAAATCATGGGTGTGGAGAATCCTCATCCAACACCCTTTTATTTCAGGTACCACTGTAGAGACATTAGGTATTTTTTTAGAAGCAGAAGAACTGAAAAATAGCAACTGCCTTCGCCAGGAATCAAACCGCGGACTTCTGGAGTATCGGGCCAGCATGCAGAACCACTACACCATGAAGGCACACTAAGAAGGCGGGAGAAATACCTTATAAGTTAACAGTGCAGTTCATTATTACAGTGCACAAAGAGAAATAGCCAAAGAAAACAAATATCTCATCATCAATATTGTGATTTTTAGAGAATAGAAAAACATGCATTTTTAAAAATTGTTACTAAGGAAGACTTGATTTTATCAATGACATTTTATTTATTGCAAAAAAGGATAATTTTTTTTAGGGGAACTGATTCTCAGTTTTTATATATATTGAGTTTTTTACTGGTTTCAAATACCTTGGATTACTAATAGAACTGATTACCTAGACTCTGAGGTACTATGTAGAAGCAAAAAGTTCCACATTAGGAATTAAATTTTTTAAAATGAATTTTTTAGGTAACAAAATTTATTAATTTATTACATTAAAATTATAAGCACATAAATTGCAATTATAATTTAATTCCTTGGATGATTAAAGGATTGATGTTTTACAGGAGTAGCATACTTGTTAAATAAACTTTTACCAATTTTTGAGCAGCATTCTACGTAATGATCATTTGATATACTGTTCTTTTTCATTAGTGCCTAGTGAGGAATTGCAATTCAATTTATCTGCAGTTGATATCATTAATGTAGTTAACCTTAGTGCCTTGAAAGGCACCATAACACAAATCAAATAGAGAGTCATCTAATACAAGTGATCTTACATTGTTTGAAAAGCAAATCTTGTAGCCATCTTTTTTTGAATACTTGCCTTACTGCTGTTTTCATTCTGCCCTGGGTAGTGCTTGATAACCAGTTGATGAAACTGGATGATAAGAAATGTATGAATATACCCCAGAAGGAAGTGATGATTATAATTGGATGTGCTTCATCAGCACTAAGATTTAAGTAATCTGTACGAAAGCTGTCTGAAAGGTTTCTGATCTCAATATGTAGATGACAACTCAAATCAACAGAAGCAGGGAAAATTTGTTTGGGCTGGGCATCACTTAAAAACTACCAATCAAAATTCCAGTTATTTTGAATGCGAATGTTTTGTTTTACAATTACTTTTGTGAGTTAAAGTGGCCGTTTTTGTAAAAATGGGGGGAGGGGAAAAGTCGAGTATTGTGCTGTCATTAGATACCTGTTTTTGAAAGGTTAACTCAGATTAAAGAGGAGTTGGATACAGTGTACGGGAACTCTGCACCATCATTTACTATTATGAAATTTTGGGCAGCTAAATTTAAACGTGAGCATTCCTGCTTGGATGACGATGAATGTTCAGGTTGGCCAAAACTTCAACCACTGATGAAAGCATCGCTAAAATCCACCAAATGGTGCTGACAACCATTGAATCATGGTTAGAGAAATAGCAGAGGCTATTAGCATGTCCAAAGAATGTGTTTGCCTCATATTGAACAAAGATTTGGATATGCATAAACTGGCTGTATGTTGGGTGCCGCATTTGCTCACTTTGGACCGAAAACAGCTCGAATGAACATTTGCACCTTCTGTTGGCGCAATTAATTGGAATGTTTTCGACTATTAATCACTATAGATGAAACCTGAATTCATCATTACAGCCCAGAAACAAAAACACAGTCAAAACAGTGGACTGCAAAGGATGAATCAGCTCCAAAAATGGCAAAAACTGGTCCTGCTGGAAAAATGATGGCAACACTTTTTGGGACAGCCATGGGATTGTCTCAATAGATTATCTTGAAAAGAGAAAATCATTACCGCAGCATACTATGCAATGTTACTTAACAAGCTGAAGGCAGGAATTGTGGGAAAAAGGCCACATTTGCAAAGGAACAAATTTTGTTTCACCAAGCCAATGCTCCATCTCGCACCTCAGCAGTTGCAGTGGCGAAATTCCATGAATCATGATTTAAACTGCTTGATGATCTTCCCTATTTGCCATACCCAGAACCAAGTGACTTTTTTTTTTTTTTTTTTTTTTTTTGTTCTCTGATCTAAAATAAGCACTTGGAGGACAAAGATTTTCATCAAATGAGGAGATTTTACAGAGAAAGATCTACATATTATTTGGGCGGGGTAAAAGGATGGGAGCATCGCTGGAAAAAATTTATAGACTTGCACTGAGCTATGTTGAAAAATAAAGGTAATTTTAGAAAAAAAATATCTTTCTTTGTTAGGTTGGAAACTTTTCAGGCAGTCTACGTAGTGTTCGTGATTTGATGTTTTAGAATCAGCATGTCCAAGAACTTGCTGTAGAATCATTTTCCATATCTTGGCCCAGACAGGATATTTCTGTTGCTTATACCTTATGCTGTCTCCTCCAGTGATTAATGCATTGATTCTACAGTATTATTATGTTTTGTTCTTTTTGAATGCACCAGAGCCAAAATTACTCGTGTTAGATTGAAAGGAACAAATACTGAATAAAAATTAATCATAATAATTAATTTGAAAATTTTAAGAATTTCTGTGTTACCCAGCTTATCTTAATTATTTGTTATTTAAATTATTATGCCAAAACATTGTATGAAACCTGTTGTCTTTGACTAGTTATTTTTGGTTTCAGATCTGTCCTTGATTAGGTATTCACCCTTTCCATTTAGTTTTTGATATGCTATATATTATATTTTGAGAAGAGCTTAAGGAATTGGTTCTGCGTAAGTTAGATATTCTAATCAAAACATGTTTAAATATTATTTAACTACAGATATTATTTCCTTTTGCATGTGTAATTTCCAAAGTTTAATTTTCATTCATGAGATATATCTAATAAAGTTACCGCCCAATATATATTCACTGTCAGAAAAATCTGTCAGTTTAGTGAAATTGATAGGCACTAATGAAGTAAAAGAGATGTAAACTATCACAGCATAAAAAATATGAATGTTTTTAAAAAGTTGCACATAAAAATTTTACTGAAACTTAGTGCAAATATTTTAACGAAATTATAGAATGGACTAAAAATAATGTTGGATAGGAATTATTCCAAGTTGCATTCTTTATGCTTTTAATGTATGAGAAATCCACCATATTGCATAATGTGAATTATTTTTATTCAGTTTAGAATTTAACTGTTACTGCAATAAATTCTACAAAATTCTACTACAGTTGGCCTGCCCAGCATTTGTGATTGAATAAACTGTTCTTTGTGATGAAACTTCAGCATCTATGAACCGTTATTTTGTTAACTTCATGATCACAATGCACATTCCAAAATTTTGATGTTCTTTTGTTTTTGATGCTATATATTATATTTTGAGAAGAGCTTAAGGAATTGGTTCTGCATAAGGTAGATACTCTAAACAAAACATGCTTAAATATTATTCAACTACAGATATTATTTCCTTTTGTATGTGTAATTTCCAAAGTTTAATTTTCATTCATGAGATATATCTGATAAAGTTACCACCCAATATATATTCACTGTCAGAAAAATCTGTCAGTTTAGTGAAATCGATAGGCACTAATGAAGTAAAAAAGATGTAAACTATCACAGCACAAAAAAATATGAATGTTTTTAAAAAGTTGCTCATAAAAATTTTACTGAAACTTAGTGAAAATATTTTAATGAAATTATAGAATGGAATAAAAATAATGTTGGATAGGAATTATTCCAAGTTGCATTCTTTGTGTTTTTAATGTATGAGCAGTCCACCATATTGCATAATGTGAATTATTTTCATTCAGTTTAGTATTTAACTGTTACTAGTCTCACTTAATGCAATGAATTCTACAGAATTCTACTACAATTGGCCTGCCCAGCATTTGGGATTGAATAAATTGATCTTTGTGATGAAACTTCTGTGTCTATGAACCATTATTTTGTTAACTTTATGATCACAATGCACATTACAAAACTTTGATGTTCTTTTGTTACTTTGATGATCACAATGCACACTACAGAATTTTGATGATTGAACAGTGTTTTTCCGTTTACAGAAATAAAACAGTATAGGTGTAGAAAAATATGCATTGTCAGTTATTCTTCAACACAGATTCAGCTTTAAAAAGTTCCGGAAAATGTAATTTTATTACATTATAAACTGTTAAGATATTGGATGCCAGAAGATAATTTTTTTTTTATAGGTAGAGAAATAAAACACTGAAAAATTTAATCACCTATTCTATTGTGAAAGTCCAACATTTTGTTTTGACAGATTCAATAAATTTATTTTATGATTACTGAAAACATACAAATTGATTTTCCAAAATGTTATGCAGATACTTAATATATAGATTGCTTTGCAACATTCAGTCTTTAAGTTATTTGTTGCTTTTAAACTGAGTGTCGAAAACAACAATCTTGTTTCCAGAAGTCAGGAAATACATTTTTAAACGTAGCCTCAGTTATCAGGTATTTAATTTGAGTACACTAAAATTTCTGAATTAGATTTTAAATAATTGTTTTCAAACATTAAATGATGTAATAAAATTTCATTACTAATTTTGATTTTTATGTTTTGTTTTTTCTTTTGTCAAGGTTAAAGTTTTCTATGTTGATTATGGTCATGATGGCATAGTCAATAGGAGAGACATTCGTAAATTGGAACCGATTAGTGAATTCTTAGCATTTCTTCCACATCAGGTACTTTATATATTTATTGATAATAACCAGTGAAAATTGTTTCATTAGTTAATGTTCTCAAGTATTTAATATGCCTAAATTTTTCACAAATTTTCTCATTCCAATTTTAGTGTGTAGAATGTGAATTATTTGATGCAGTACCAAATGGTGCAAAATGGACTGAAGCAGCTTCTTCAAAGCTTATGGAAATGGCACCGTTTAATGAAGAGATAATGATGAGGGTATACTTTTAAATAATTTATTCAATTCTTGAAATAATGCATAAATTTTTATATGTAATTGGTTACAAAAAATGATTCTTTAGCCACATCATAAAATCCTTATACTTGGTATTTACTTCTAGATCTATAGCTTTTAGAGTCATTAGGTTTTTTTGAAGCAGGAGAGAGAAAAGTGTGCAGTGTGCGAAATTTCATATTTAATCATCTAATATTTGTATTTGATTTTGTTTTATATCAATAAATTATCTATGCCAGTGGTTCTCAACCTTTGGACTAACGCGTACTATCTAAACAAAAATTGAAAACCTTTAGTACTCTTGAACAAAGCTCAGATCTCTTAAATTTACAAATGTTAGTAAAAAAATCTTGGATATTGGGTTTTTAATTTTTGAATTTAATAGTTAAAAATCCTGGTATAAAAGTATCAGAAAATTATGAAATGAAGTTAGACAAAAAACAAAATATAGAACACCTAATTAAATAGTAATATATTTTGTATTAGGATCGTATGATAATTTTTTTGGTACCTGAATCATGCTGTATAGTGATTTTTAGTGAATTTGAGATTGTTTGAAATGATGCAGAGCAGAAACTTCCCAGAAATTCTCGTTTTTTGTGAGAAATCTATCCAGCTTTTCAAGTTTAGCAGGTATAGCCTTTATATATTTGCAGTTTAGTTACAGACTGGAAAATTGTAATGTATATAAAGCACAACAGCACCACAAAGGTTTTTGCATGTCAACTGTGGTTCTGATGCAAGTGAAACCAAACTTCATATAGTCATTATTCCCTTTTCTTCTCATTGACATCATGAACATTAATAATAGTTTAAGAAATATAACCATAAAAGCATGGATCAAGTTGATTAGAAAAAAAGTAATAATAATAGGTAAGTATACTTACTGTTTGTCGGAGACGGAAAATAATGAGCAGAGACGGAAGAATAATGAACACATAATCACTACAGAATGAACTCGGGATGTAATAACACTCATTACATTGCAAAATGCGAACTGATGTTACTAATATGTCCGGTAAGTCTGTTATCAGTGGATGCACAGGAAGTATGTTTTACATGTGCACCAATGCTGTGCATGTAATCTTTAAACAGTTATTTAACTTATTTTAAACAAAATATTACAATCCTCTAGAATGCTACCTCACACCAGTGATCCTGAAAAACCAAGTTATTATCCATATGATAGTTGAAAAACATCCATGCTAGGTCTACTGTATCATTGACACTGCATGCTGGAAAAATGCTAAAATCATCTAGTGGACAACAGTTCTCAGCTACTTAGAAGTACCAAAAATATATTCAAATTGAAAGAACTGATTCTGAGAGGTGATGGAATGTTATTTTCTGACTTTCTGCAATGCTGTTTTTAAATTAAAAGTGGTTTTCTGCAATGATGTTAAATACTAGATTTTCTGTTTTGAACCAAAGACTAAGGAAACCAATAGAGAGGGCACTTCAATTTATTATTACTGAAGTCAAAGAATTTTCACTCATCTCGATCATTCAGTAACTGATGGTAATTTGTTTTTAAAACTTTTAGACATTTTAAAACTTGAAGTGTGTATTGCATTCATATTTTGATTTGCTTTCTGCTTTCTTAAATATTATATTCATGCCAAAATGTCCTGCTTGTTACTTGTAATATTCGTTATAGTATGATAATATATGCTTCTGCACAGCTTATGTGAAATGTAACAAAAATATGCATCAGCTTTTGGAGTGTATTCTGCATCCTATGTAATTATGTACTTTACTTTGAAAGTATTATATATGTGAAATCTGTTAAAGGTACTTGCTGGCAACAAATTTAGTCCAGACATTGAGTCGAATTGGGTCATTAAGAAGCAATCTGCTTTCAATCCAGTTTTGCACACTCTGTTGGGGTCCATCCAGTGGGGGAGAAAGAAAATAAGATTACTTTTTAGCTCCTGCTTGTACATTAACAGATAAAAGTTTTAGAAGAATTACAGTTTGCTGTATGGTAATATGTAAAATCCAGATACAAGCATTATAACATTGTAGCAGATAGCGAGTATATTTTTTCTGTACACCATTCAATTTAGTCATGATAAAAATTCATTAATAGTTGCTTGACAAGAATGCTATCATGTTAATCTCTTTGGAAAAATAATTTTTTGTAACTTTTACTTACAGTATATGTAGAATATATATTAACATTATATTGTGTATATTTGGCAAGTAATAAAGTTTCATTGACTTCTAAAATGTTTTTAAATAACATATTTTTAAACTTAAAAATGCATTTTATTAGGTTATGCATGATGGCAGTGAAGGTAATCTCGCCAAGGTAAATCTGTACAAAAGAAATGAAGCTGGAGACATAATCACCATAAACCAGACTCTTGCAAATAGATCAGAATTATTTCAGTAAGAATAAAAACTGATATTTATGAAATTTTTTTAAGACTATCTTGAAGCAATTTTCCATATTATTGTCTTAATTAGAGAGGTATTTAATTTTTCTACGTCGCCTCATAAAGAAATTATGCACTGAACTTTCTTGATTGTTTAGGTATTGCAAAGAACTAACCAACAAGATGGTGGCCATGATTTTAGAGCTTGTTTGAAAATTATTATTGTGCATACTCAACTGAGTTAACTTGGGTATATTGTACTAATTTTCTTCTGTGAGTACATTCAAAAAATTGTTTTACATAAGGAAAGAGGTGTTGAAACGAATATATCCACTACAGTTTTGAACCTATTTCCTTTTACTCAAGAAAATTTGTCATCAGTATGTGTTAGCCATTTGGTTTACACATGGCCTTTTTTTACTGTCATCATGACAAAGGGTATTAATTTCATTTCACTAGGCTGCATTGAATCACAACTTTATTTTGTAATTGCATATTCATTTATATTATATAACATGTTTACAATTTATCTTTACATAACCCTATCATGGGTGTTATTACCTTGATTTCTTTATTGTACGAGTTAAGTTGGTTCAGAGATATATGTAGTTTTACTGACTTTAAAATAATAATAATTTTACAAGATACATTATTGTCATTTCATATATAATTAAAATAAAGAATAAAAAAAATTGTCTAAAAATTACCCTTTTCTGAGTTTTTATTGGTGTATTAATGTGTTAGTAAGCAGTTTTTTTCTCAATAAATGATATAAACAGTAATTTATAAATGTTTGGAATTAATTTGCAAAATTAGATAGAGGAAATTGTTCAACCCTGTGCCATACAAATTTATTCAGTAATTAAATCAATTTATACCATTGCTAATTACAATCTACTTTAATATAAGAAAACCTCATATCATATATTTAATTTTTCCAGTAATTGGTGTATGTTGTGTAAATGCTGTTAACTGCTATGAATAATAATAATAATAATTAATAAATAATAAATTACAACACTATTGTAATAAATTAAAAAAATGAACTTTCAGTTAGTTTTCAGATTCATTTGAAAAACTGTATTTTAACAGTTAGAAATATATTTAAGAAACTGTTTATATGAATAATGATTTTTCTTTTAATAGATAGAAATATTTTTTAAAAAAATCAGCTTAAATAATTAAAAAGAGTATTATGTGCGAATTAGCCTATATTATATACTAGTTGATAATCTGTTCATTAAAATGAATTCCTTCATGTAGGGTAAACAAAAATGCCCATTTTTTGAAGGTTAACAAGCTGTAATACAAAATAAGTGAAAATAGAACTAATAAAATTCAGTCACTTGATTTTAAGGTCTAAATGCTTTATTGAACTTTGTATTTTTTAAAGAAATAATTGAACTTGTTTTATAATATTCAACTTTATATATTTGGATTTGCAACTACTGGAAGCAATTACTTTATCAAGTGTGGGTGGATTTAAAAGTTTTATCATTTATCAGGCTAGGATAAGTTAGTTGATTGAAGTAAAGTAATTCAAGGACTGTTTGCCTATGAAAGGAGGTCTTCTTGGAGGAATTTTGAAGGGAATCTAGCTTGTGTTCACATTACTCATAGGGGAAACTATGAAAATCTTTTACTTTTTTATGAGGATCAACATCAAATAAAATTCCTTTATCATGCTTATTATGATACTCAGCTCAAATTCTTTTGCAACTGATCTAGAGTTTCACCAGGCAAACTCTGCAGAAAGACATTGTAATGGAGGTGTATGTGTAGCGACCTGTGGGGGTAAAATGCATAGTGCTTAATCATATTGAGCTCCACATTTTTTATCAAGGTTTCATAACTATATTACTACTGCATTCCTTTCCCAGGTACACTTTTTTCTGGAACATCACTGGTTCTGAATTTTTATGGATGATATTCCCACAGCATATCATATATAGACTGTAGATGGATTACTGGAAAGGTTCTATGATTTTTCAAACATACAAAGGACACTCTGAAGAAATGTTTTTCAGCATGCCCTCATTCACTGCACTCTGTCCATCGATTGTAAAGAACACTTATAGAGGAGTGGATGATGTTGCTGTAACATCTTATTGACCAGCTTGTAGACAGTTCGAAGTAATCATTACTGTTCGCTGCATATTCCCTGCTAAATATCTTCCCCCCCCCTTATTTCACCTATGGAATAGATGCTTCTTTGCGATGATTAATCATGATTTTATTCATTTCTGTTTATGTGTTTTGTTATTCATCAGTATACTACATACTAAAGTTTCTGTGATATGATTTTCATTCATTTATGCTGTTTCACTGTGGAGATCACATATCTGAAGAAATCTGTCAATTTTGTGTGGTGTACTTAGATGTCATGTATGCAATATGCTAAGATTACGTGTATTTATAAAATAAGTATCTATCAGTAAAGAAAGAAGCAATGAAAAGAAAATTGGATTTGACATATATAAGACTCACTTATTCAATATTGTTTTCCTTCAGTATGTTACTTAAATTTTTTCTTTTGGAGGGGGGGGGCGGTAAATTAGCTGTGTCAATCCTCAGTGAGAGCCAATTATAGAGCGGAAGAGAGAATAAGTATATTTTACTGCTCTCTGTATCTAAATGTCGTGCAAAAATTGTTATTTTTATTAATTTTACGGAATCATACTCACATATCTAAATGACTAGTAGAAATATTTATTTAATTAGAAGGTAGACTGTAAATATTTAGAACTTAATTTTTAGGAATTACTTCTTAACTTGGATTGTCAATTTAAAATTAATTTGCATTACTATATTTTTATTTCATATAATTGTGGATTCATACTAAATTATAATTTTAATAAAATACAGAAATCTACATTTAATTTGAGTGTATCAGAAATCTTATGGAATTTGTTTGCATTTCCAAATAAAATGTAAAGTAACTTTTTTTGTTAGAACTTAAATAATTTAAATGAAATGTTTTTCTTTTCTAGTTAATTCTCCCCCTTTTTTGCTGCCTGACTCCTATAAGGAAAGAATTATTGATAATTGCTTTGAAAATGCAATCACATTTCTGGGTTGTAACACTAATTTTAAAGTTTTAATTGACAGCACTATTCAAATGATCCCATTAAACAGAAGCAAGTTAGTGCATTCTAAGGGAAGATGATTTCTATTCATCAGAAACAAAAAATTAGCTTAATTGTAGATGCATTAGATTTAACTGTGATAAATGTTAATAATCAACTGAAGAACAGGGACTTCTCTTTGATTAAGATAAGAAATTTATTCAAAATATATCATATATGCAAGTAAAATTTGTAATAATTATGTTAACCTGATTAATGTGTTTTATCATTTAGCGAAACATCTGTCTCTCTGGCAAAAAATTTGTCTCCGGAAACACATCTATTTCTAAAGTTACGAAATAATTTCAAGCAGAATAAAAGCTCACTTTCTAGTTTCATGCCTGATGTTGTTGTTCCAGCTGAAGAACGAGCAAAGAAGGGTGTAACTACACCAGTTACACCTAATACAAGGTAAAATAGAAATTTATAAGTTAAATTTTCATGTTTCTTAAGAGTTTTACAGAAATATGTTTTTCATATTAACTCATTCATTCTAGCTATTACATATAAACTATATTTTGAAGATCGAAACTGATGCAATATTAAGTGCTAATTTATTAATAGATTCAAATAAATTAGTTTGGAACTGCATTGTGTCTGAAATGTAAAAATTTACTTTTATATCATATCTCTTTCTTAAAGATCATAAAGAACTTGGTTTTAGAAATATCCTTTTAGTAATGGAAGGAAATAAAAGGTTTTTGCTTAGGCACATACGCATCTCTGTGTCTATGCACGTACATACAAAAAGAAGGTTGAATGCACCACCTACCAATGGGGGAGTAGTTAAGACAACTGAATGCTGACAGTTTGATTTGGCTTGAGTACAAACCCGGATGAACAGGTTGGCTGCATGATTGTTTTTTTTTTTTTTTTTTTTTTTTTTTTTTTGTGGTTTTCCAGTGTGTAGTGTAAATACAACTGTATTTCCCATGTAAAGGCATTTCTTCTCTTAGGCAGATAGCCAGCCTCTCTTAGGCAGATAGCCAGCCTTATTGGCTTTGCAATATTCAGACAAGCTAACCTTCACTAATTCAGAAGTCAAACAACAAAAATCAGCGTTATATTCACAAAATTTTCACAGGACTAGTTTCGATGGTTTAACCGAACCACCATCCTCAGCTGCAAAACCGCAAAATATTTTTTGTTGTTTGACTTCTGAATTAGTATTTATTCGGCGTGTTATTGTGTCTTAATTATAACATTCACTATCTAACATTGAGGCCAACAGATATATGTTACGGACATCATGATATTTTTTCCCTTCCTTTCTTTATATCTAAAAATCATAGTAATGTTGAAAAGGCAAAATTTAAAAACATCAGAAATAGAATAGTGAAGGAATTGAAGGACTCATCAACAGAACAGCATGTTAATAGTTTGAGAACACTTTCCCCCCTTTTTCTTAATGTTACATGCTTTTACTTTGATATTGCTGTATTTTTCTGCAGTTAGCATAGAATTTAGATAGCAGCACATAATTTTAAAAACTGTAATTTGAAGAAAATTCTCTTTTTAGATTATTCAGTATGTAATTTTGCATAATTTAAAAACTGCAACTTAAAAAATGCTCTTTTTAAATTATTCAACATGTTATTTTGCATAATTTAAAAACTGCAGTATAAAGGAAATGGTTTCCACATTGTTTTCTTATGTAAAAATGTAATTATTTTTTTACATCAAATGTGGGTGAATTCTTAAATAGTAAAATGAAGTGCCTAAAAATTTCAAGAATTGTTTAAAAGAAAGTTACTAAATGAAACAGCTTTGTTATGTTTTACAGCTCTTGCGTTTCTTGTATTTCATAATAAATTTTGAGTGCAGTATCAAGTTTTTGTCATAAATATATTCATTCTAAGTAGAAATTTAATTTCAAAACTATTTATTCTTTGTACCTCATTGTAGAACACTTCCTCCCAATCACATTTAATCTTCAAAAATTTCGTGATTTTATTGAAATGCTTGACAGTTCTTGTCATCACTTTTCTCTTTCATTTTTCTTCCCTTTGCCAGTAAGTATGCTTCCTTAGGAACAATTTGGGGCTGTTTCTAATGTCTTTATTCAAGACAACAGTCAACAGTCAGACAACATTAACAGTCATTACATTAATTACAAGACATTACAAGACAACATTACATTACAAGACAACATTAACAGTCATTACTGTTATTTGACTGGAGAGCCAGTCAAATAACAGTAATGACTGAAATCTCTTGTAGAGTCATTTGGTTTTCTTGAAGCAAGAGACATGAGAAGTGTGAAATGCCCTTACTGGAACTCAAACCTGGACATCACGAATAAGCTACTGTTACACCATGAGGGCATGCAGAAAGGAGAAAGGAAATACCTTATATACTCCCCTTTTTAAAGAACGACTGGGATTAGGGGGCCCGATCGCCAAATCCTAGTGGTGAAGCATCATCATCCTTTAGCTCGAGTGCCACTGTTAGACATTAGCTATTTTGAATCGGGAGGCATTTAAAATATGCAGTGCCCTTGTTGGGCCTCGGAACTTGGACTCTCAAACACGTGCCGAGTGTGCTACTTTTACACTACGAATGCATGCAATAAGGAGGGAGAGAATACCTTATACTCTTAACAATTAAATTATTATTATTAACAATTAAATTTTAGTTTTTAAAAACTTTTGGAGTGACTTGTCAGTATGCTTATGTTTAATTTTTACGTGTATATGCTTTGAGAAACTATTTTCTGAGTAATTTTTTTCTCTTTTGTTTATTCTTTCAGTTTCATAGATTGGCTGAGTACTCCGGATAACATTAAAAGTCCTGATACATTTGAATACAAATCTCCTGAATCCCTTGTTTCACCAGAAGTGCCTCCTGTAGGAGAGATATTCGATGTTTTTGTTACTATGGCAGCTCATCCTCATAATTTCATTGTAAGTTTATCCAGCATAGTTACAGACATATTATATACACATACACACACTTTGTCCACAATAATCTTTACCAGGCCATTATTTTTACAACTTTTTGTGACAGACATGTACTTTAAATTACAAAAATGTTTTAAATGATGCAATGAGTCATGTCTTTTGCATTTATAGTTTTTTAAGAATTAATTTTGTATAAAATATTAATGTAATGTTTTATATATTCCCGTGGTCCCTTTGCTAGTTTTTAAGAAAATATTATACACATTATAAAAAATAAAAAAATAAAAAGTTCAACTCTTGTATGGAAAAAATTGGCTGATGTATTAAATTTCAAAATAGCTGATTTACAGTGTCATTTTGAATTTTAGATAGAAAACATAAAGAATACTTGCATCATTTAAGGCCTTTTTAGTAATTGGAAGCATTGGCTTATAGCGAAAGTTTCCCACCATCGCAAATATCATATGCGCAAACAGTTTGCGCTTGCGTGTTTGATCATATTTTGCCAAACAATTTTTGGCATTTGAAAGAAAGAGATGTGCTTTAGAACACTGTGTTGTGAAATTTGTAAAAAAATATCGTTATCATTAATTAAGTACAAGGTGTCTGAAGTGGAACTCTCATGCTGCCAGATTAGAACTGCCATTTACTTCCAGTTCTGCTGCAAATAATAAATGTCACCAAATCATGTGTGCAGCTTTAATTACTAATGTTTTATGATATGATACTGTGAAGGTATGGTACCGAAAGCTGAAAAACTAGGATCCAAGAAGCAAAGTGCTTTGGCCAGCCTCCTGATGTTGTTGAGGCCCACCTGCTAGAATTGTGGAAGAAGATCTGTATGCAACCGCTCAAGAGCTCGCTAAGGAGTTAGATGTTAGTGCCATATCCATTAGTCATACTATGCATCACATAAACTTGATGTACAACTTCAATTGCTGGGTGCCGCATGAGCTGACTGAAGCAGATAAGGATTGTTGTACGGGCCTGCACTAATCTACTCTAATATTAATGCAAGAAAAAAAAATTCTGGATCCGGATCATCGCTTGTGATGAAATGTGAATTTACTTCAAATTTCGCTTGTGATGAAATGTGAATTTACAGATTGAAAAGGGGGTTGATCTGTTCCCGCCGAGCTAATCGGCAGCGTTGCAAAGCACAGTTTGACTAACAAGGGATCATGCTTTGTATCTGCTGGATTAGCCAGGGTATTATACACAAAGGGTATTTGGAAAAGGTAAAACCCTCAACAGTAAGGTGTACAGTGAGATGCTAATTCATGTTTATGCTATTATGAAGGGAAAATGTTAAGCTGATTTCCAGCACAAAAAGGTAATGTTTCATCAAGATAATGCAAGACTGCATGTGTATTCACCGGCTGGACTCTTTACGGACTCTAGTGGGATCTTTTGCCACACCCATATATAGCCCTGACATCGTTCGTTTGGACTTCTACCTTTTTTTCACATATGCAGCCACATCTTGTTGGTGCTATGTTTCATTCTGTACAGTATGTGTGGTGGTGGTTAGTCTGTAGCGCAAGTTATGCCTTTATGCTCAGTTTTTGACTAAAATAAAAAGGATATTTTAAACCTTTTCTTGTATTTGTGAGTTACTGAGACATAGCAATAACTCGCTATTAGTCTAGTACAGTCTGCAGGACTTTAACCTTTAGTTCCAATTATCAGTAGCAAGTCTACAATATGCAATGTTTATGTAAAATATTGTTGTAAATAAGGCTCTAATTTTTTTGTTGAAATAAGATATGATATTTTGCTTTGTTGTTAAAAATATAGGTTCTGTTCCCTTAAATGAGCAAGAATGTCCGAAATGAGGTTCATATGTTTTTGGACTCATGGGTACCAAGTTTGTGGGGCAAAGATTTTGAAAAACTACCAAAATGTTAGCAGAAAATCATAGATTTGGGTAGTGATTACTACCTGCACTAAAGGTACTGCCTTGAGGACCAGCACGCGGAGAATAAAGCTCAGCCAGGGACCGAACCCCCTGAAATGGAACGACGCCACTGCCCACGCATTTTCAGCAGTTAAGCCTACTTAAAAATAAAAAAAAGTATAAAATTAGCATTTTAATATAATGACCTCAAGTTTTGAAGTTACATACTTAATATATTAATTATTAACACGTATTAATATAACAAATATCAGATTAATAGAAATAAATGAAACATGCTTTGTATCTGCTGGATAACAAACCATAGCTGAAACAAAAACTATGCACATGAAAACAAAATTACAAATAGAAATGAAATTTAAGCAATAATTATCTGTAGGTAATTAAATCCCAATTTAATAATTCTGCTGTATGTGGAATAATTCAAAACGAGAATCGACACACAGGACAATGGTGGCTTTTTTTGCCGAGCAAGTAAAATGCCTCGCACGACGGGAAAGCTGATATCTTTTCCCTTCTGTAACAATGTTGTAAAGTTACTTTTTAATTAACCAACAGAGTTGCCAACTCTCCCGATTTTCAACCGCTCTCCCGCCAAGCCGATTTACAATATATTTCTCCCGACTTTTTCTTATTCTTAAAATTTCTCATGATTTTTATGGAACTTCGCTTAATACCTCGTTATATGAACAAAAAAAGCGATTTTGGACATTTGAAAGCAATTGAATTTTCTCTAGAATATATCTAAAACAAAACCTTGTGAATCAGATGAGAATTTCTGCTTTGTGAGGGAGAGCATATGTATCCAAAATCGTCATTCTCCAATGAACATCGAGCTCCACTGCATGTCATCTGGCATATATTAGCCAATGAGCACAAAGCAAGCTCAACCCCCACCTCAGAAGGGTCAGTACAGTGAAAACTAAAGAAAAAGTTAAATCAAATCCCAGCATATGCAGGAGATGCCCTTAACTGGCTGTGTGATGATAAGATTCAAGAATTTTTTGGCAAAATTATAGAGTTTATTGAAAATATCAGAAAAGCGAAAACTGTTGCTGATAAATTACCCTCTGGATTTAGAGCTGCAATGTATCTGATGAAGGATATTAAAGACTTAGCATCTCGACGAAATGCAGTATCTGTACGTTTTTACTTCATTTTCACTTTTTATTCTCACATATTCTACTCACCAGTTAACCTTGTTTTCAAGCAGCAACGAGCGGGGTCAGTTTCTGGGGAGTGTGACCTCCCACGTGTGACTGGCTCCGACGAATGAGCAGCTACTGTATCTATGCAGGACTTTTTGCCACTACGGAAAGGATTTATTCACCAGCTTGACGGCTTATGCCTAACATGCCGCTTTTAGCACGCTTACTATTTTAAATGCTAATTATATTTACCTTAGCTTCCAAGTCGCCAAATTTTTATGCAATTGTTTACACAACTTATTATGATTTATGTTTTTGTAACAAACTTCGTTGTAGAACTTGAACTGGTTATTTTTGGCATAATTCGAAACTTCAAAATTATTCTACAAGGGGTAGGGCCTCTAGCCCAGGTATCCTGGCGTGAGTACACATGCCTTCGGGAAATAGTTTTAGAAATAATCATCTTTTATTATGTCTGCGAGAAAGGTGAAATACTCCTGTACGTTTCACAGTTGTACACAGTTGACTTTCCTTCCATTATTTCCTGAAGGAAATGTAATAAATTTGCGATGTACCGTCGTTGCGATTTTTTGATTTCGCATGGTGGAAGGGCAGATGTTCTCAATCATGGGCATACACAAAAACGCAAGGACAACATGAGTTGTTTTGAAAAAAAATGAAAAATTAAATTTTACTTTGGAAACAAATGACCAAAAAGAAATGTGCAGAATGGTCATGCAGAATGTCTGTTCACAGCCTGCCACTGAATGCATCGGATCACGCTGCAGCTTTATTTAGAAAAATGTTTCCCGATAGTGAAATCGCAAAGAAATACTCAAGTGCAAGGAACAAAACAGGTGCAATTGTTAAAGAAATATCTTCAGTTATTGATTGCATTAAAACGCTCCGTTCTGCCTTTCTACGTATGGAAGCAATAATACCGATTCAAAACTGTATCCAATTGTTTTTTCTTATTTAGATCCAGAGTCTTCAGAAATTGAGTGCAGTTTACTTTCTGTCCCCACTTTAGAAGGACATTCAACAGACTTTAATATAACACAGCTAATTATTAAAACTTTTAAGGAAAATGCAGTCCCTCTGGATTATTGCTTAGCACTTGGTGCTGATAATGCACCAGTAATGGTAGGCTTGAAGACTGGTGTTGCAGGCATCTTAAGAAAGGAAAATTCAGATTTGCGGATTATGAGGTGCACCTGTCACCTCTTAAATTTAGCAGCAGAAAAAGGGGCAGCTTCTTTACCAATAAATGTGGATGAACGCATAGTTGATATTTATTATTATCTTCAAAAGAGTTCTAAAAAAGGAAGGAAAAATTGAAACAGTTCCAACAGCTGCATAATACTGAAATGAGAAAAATTTTTGAAATGTGTGTACACGCTGGCAGCCTTAAAAGAAATGCTTATCTAGAATCCTCGATCAATGGAGCTCATTTCTTGCATTTTTTAAAGAAGTAAATGCTTCGAGAGTTAAGATAAAAGGTTCTAATGAAAGTTATAAAATACCTAAAGTAAATGGAGATGTAGTTACAACTTCCATTGTTAAAAATAGATTTGAGAAAAATTAAGTAATTTCTGCACCATTCAGCTGGCAGTTCTCAAAATAATACTGCAAAATATAAGTGTAAAGCTGATACAGATTTCTCTCAAAATAAAATTAAAAAAAAAAAAAAAATTGCTCAACACGCAAAACATTTTCCGATTACTGTAAGTTTATCTAAGTGCGAATTTGCCACTGTTCATAACATTTGTACGAAAACTGATTAAAGTGTCTTTTTGTTGTTGTTTTCTTAAACAATGCAAGTAATAAAAATGTTTTTTATGTGTAAGGTATTTTTGTGTTGCTTGCATTTAAGAATTAGTAACTATTTAAAGTAAATTCATTATTAAAAACTATATTTTTATCATTTGAAAAGTTTTTTT